ACAGGAATCTCACCGCTCCCCGCAAATATATCCAGGGTGGGAGACCGACAGAGCGAGCGGGCACGTGCACTGGACAGAGTCCGCCAGACAGACAGACAGACAGACAGCGCCAGAGAGAGAGGAGCAAGAGCTGGACGAGCAGGGAGGGCGGGCCAGCACACAGCAGACGGAGCGACAAAAGGGGAGACAGAGAGAGAACACACAGCGCTGGTTCAGGGAGGAGGGAGGGGAGAGGGGAAGAGGATGGAGGGGCTGAAAGAGAGACAGAGATGCAAACAGACGGATGAACGGGAAGACGGTGCACTGAGAGGAGGAACAGAGAGGGACGAGACAGCGCAGAGCCGCAGGCAGATGACGCCAGCCCCTCCCCGGCCCCTACCTTGGATTTGCGGTCAGCAGCTGAGGCATCTCCGGCTCCGGAGAGATGAGGGGACCCCCTGCCCCGGCCCCTCCGGCCACGGCCCCCAGCTCCTCCTCGAGGCTGCTCCCCCGGACTGTCCTCCCAGCTGCGGGAGGCCCGGCCCATGCCTGCCCGGCCCCCCTGCTGGGGAGGCGTCCGGCCTCCCTTGCTGGCCCCTGGGGGCCGCGGGGTCCCAGGAGACCTCCGGGAGGGCCCCAGGTTCTTATCCTGGAAGCGGGGAGAGAGGAAATGTAGGGTCACTGGGACAAGGAGACTGGGACGCCCCAGGCCCAGAGGGCAGTGCCAGGATGGAGGCCACCCACAGGTCGGGGGCCACTGGGACGGCTCTCAGGCCTCTGGTCTCGAGTCTCCCGCCACCCGGCCTGCACCCCAGTGTGGAGCTCACCACCTCAACTGCCACATTCTCCTTCTCCACTGAGCGGCCCTTCCGGGGGGCTGTCACCGCGACGCCCTCGAGTTCAGCTTTCTTACGGTCCTCCTCAATCTCCTAGGAGCAAACAACAGACGTACGGGAGTGTCAGGGGTCCTGTGTGCTGGCTGGATTCCCACAGCCTCCTGAACTCTCCCAAGTCTGCCCCCAGCCCAGGCCTCGCCCCTGAGCTCTCGACAAGAAAGCTGGTCCCTTCAGCATCTTCCCGGAGACCACACCACACTGTTCACTTGCTCAGCACCCTCCTGTGGTGCCCATCTCTGAGCAAAAGCTGAAGGCTTCCCATTGCCTGTGGGGCCCTACAGGGCCTGGCCTCATTACCACCCTGACCTCATCTCCCACCCTATGCCCCTCACTCACTCTGCCCTCCTCACTGTTCCTAGAACACACCAGGCTCAGACCTGCCTCAGGGCCTTTGCACCTGCTGCTCCCTCTGCCGGGAACACTCTTGCCCCAGAGATCCTTCAGTCCTTCACCTCCTTCAGGGGTGTCCTTGAACGTGTCCCCTTCTCAGGGAGGCCTTCCCTGACCAGCTTACACAAACCAGCTTCCTTGCCATTCTCTCCCCCACCCCTCGTCCCCTCCCTAGCATTATGTGTATTTTGCTTACTGTCTGCCTTCCCCCTGCAGCAGAACCTGCCCGAGGACAGGAGAGCGGTCTGCTCTGTTCACTGACGTATACCCCGGGCCGCCAAGGCCACCTGGCACACAACAGAAACTCGATATGCTTTTTTTTTAATGAATGAATGCATGAAGAATGAAGAAATGAAACCCACTCCTTGCCCCATCTCAGGGACAGCCCCACCACCTACTCTGTCACCTGTGACAGAGACCTGGCCCTCGTCCTGGAGCCTCCCTCGTTCTCCCCACCTCCCACCCCTGCCTGTCAGTCCTGGAGGTCCTCCCGACAGCCCTGCCCAAGGCCAGGCACCCCCTCCCCCGATGAGGTCCCTGCCTCAGCCTCCTCCTTGGTCTGCGGTCTCCAGTATCGCCTCCTCCCATCCACCACCAGCCAGCAGCCAGGGAAGCCCTCCTAAAAACCTCTATTGACCTGTCCCACTCCTGGTCAAAGCCCTCCATGGCTTTGACCAGTGCCCTCAAGAGACAGTCCCAACTCTCAGCCTAGCCCCTGCTGACCCCTCTAGGTCAACCTCCCACAACTGATCCTCCTACTTTAAGCTCCAAGTTTTTACACAAACTGTTTCCTCTGCTGGAAACATCTTCCGCTCTCCTCTACAACCGGCTAAGGTCGACTCACCCTTCAAGCCTCAGAATCAATCCCTTCCTCCAGGAAGCCCTCCCGAACAACCCACAGGCTGGGTGAAGAGCCCCCTCGGGGCTCCCACAGACCCCTGAGCACCCCCATCCCAGCCTTGCCCACTCTGGGTCATCACTGTGTGAAGACAGATCTGTGGCTCCACTGGACTGTGAGTCCCAAAAGGGCAGGCCCAGGGCTGTCATGGTCACAGCTGCATCCCCAGCACCACTGAGCACATGCCCAGCTACAGGGAAGACCCTGATGAATGTGTGAAAATGAATGAATGAACAATGGAATGAAGGAAGGCAGGCCAGGCTAAGGCCTTCCGCTTTTATCCAGAAAGCGATGGGGAGCCATGAAAACGTTTGAAGGAAGGGAGAGGTGAGAAAAACTCACTGCGGGGAAGAGGGGATGGGGTCTCCCAGGGCGGGGCTAGGGCACCTGGTAGCGCCGGATGAGGGCCTCGTTCTTCCTCCGAAGAGCCTCGATCCTCTTGTCCAGCTCAGCATCCTTCTCCTCCTTTGACTTCAGATCCAGCGTGGCTGACTGAGAGCGGGAGACAGTTGAGAGAGGGTAGGAAAAACCTACACCCACCCCTGGGCCCTTCAATCCAGGGTCTGAGTCTTGCCCCGGGGACAGTTCCTCCCAAGCCCCTTGCCCCACAGCTCAGATCCCAGAGACCCCAGTTTTCATCTCACCATTCTGCTGGCTGGATGGGGCCGGGGACCCGGCAAACCTCTCCTGCAGAATGTGGACACAGCACTGGGGGTTCCTGAGGGCAGAGGGAAGAGGAGGACTAAGGCCAACGCCTCCCTAGTCTGCTTCCTCGGGCGAAAGTTGTGGCCCAGGCCCTGCTTAGGGAAATGTCCAGCACTGCTCCCTTCCAAACGAAGATTCTAGTCCAGCCTCCACAGCCCTGTGCTGAGAGCTTTAACTCCGACCTCTGTCAAGAGAGCTTCAGATATAGCCGCTCCCCCAACCTGTACCAGAAAGTTCTAGGCCCACCTCCCCGTGCCCATTCTGGTGCCGCTCACATCCCCGTGCACAGCGTAGGTCCGCTTCTTTCCCAGGAAAGTTTCAGAAACGTCCTATAACCCCACATTCAAAAACAGTTCGAACTTCACGCCTATTGGCTGCCCAGATCCCCAGAGAACATTCTAAGCCAGGCCTCCCTCGGGGGTTTCCAAGACCCGCTTCCAGCATCCTGAGAAAAGTGATGCCGCCTCCCCGAACCCTTGCAAAAATTTCGAAAATGGGCCGGTACCCACTGGCTAGACCTCCCTAATGGATGCTCTCCCCGGCCTGCCCGCGGCTTTCCGGGAAAGAGCTCCGGCCTCGACCCGGTCGGGAACGCCCCGGGCTGCAGGGCCGGGACAAACTCTCCGGCCCCGCCTTTCCCGCCAGATTCCCCGGCCCCGCCCACACGCTGGCGTGATTAATCTGGCCCCGCTGCCGACTTTCCCAGCCAGCGCTCTGGCCCCGCCCCCTGGATCCCCGGGCAACAGTCTGAGCCCGCCCCCTCCGTCTCGCGTCATTACAACGGCCACGCCCCCAGCTAGCCAGCCCACGCTCTGGCCCCGCCCCCGATCTGCCCAGCCAAGCTTCTGGTCACGCCCCCTGGCTCCCGCCCCCGGCGCCCCCACGGTTCTGGATCTGCTGCTGGCTGCCCCGCCAACGCTCTGGACGCGCCCCTGGCGCCCACAAAACTTTCTGGCTCCACCCCCAGCACGCCCCGCCAGCACCCTGGCCCCGCCCCCTGGGTCCCCTGCAACCTCTTGGCCCCGCCCCTGAATTCCCGGCCAACGATCTGGACCCACTCCCAACTCCGGCAAAACTTTCTGGCCCCGGCCCCGCCGCCCAGCTCTCGGGGCGACACTCTGGCCCTGCCCCCAGCCCGGGCACAACTTTTGGCCCCGCCCCCAGCGATGTCCGCCAGCCCCGGCCCCGCCCCCTGGCTCTCAGGGCGACACTCTTGCCGCGACCCCATCGTTGTCCGCCGGCCCCGGCCCCGCCGCCCAGATCTCGGGGCGACCGACACTCTGGCCCCGCCCCCAGGGTGGTCGGCCACCACCCAAGCCCCGCCCCCTGGCTTTCCGGGCGACACTCTGGCCCCGCCCCCAGCCCGGGCACAACTTTCGACCCCGCCCCCAAAGGAATCCGCCAGCCCCGGCCCCGCCCCCTGGCTCTGGGGGCAACACTCTGGCCCCGCCCCCAGCCCGGGCAGAACTTTTGGCTCCGCCCCCAGCGTTGTTCGCCAGCCCCGGCCCCGCCCCCTAGATCAGGGCAACACTCTGACCCCGCCCCCAGCACGGGCACAACTTTCGGCCCCGCCCCCAGCTGCCCACCCACGCTGGGGCTGGCACGCCCGGCCCCCGCCCCCCGCCCCCCGCCCCGCCAGCGCCCCCGAGCTCCCCCTGTGGGCGTCCCGTCCCCGCCCCCCGCGGGGCGCTCCGACCCCGCCCCCGCGGAGGCTCGCTCCTCCGCCGGCGCCCGCCCCCACGTGGGGCGCCAGGCCCCGCCCCTGCGGGCGCGCTCCCGGCCCCCTCCCCCGGTCACCTGTCCCGGAGACCCCGCGGCGTCCGCGACTCCGGCTCCGTCGGCCTCGGCGTCCGCAGCTCCCGGGCCGCGCGCGTCACTTCCCGCCCGCACCACGTGAAGAGGGGAAATAAAGAGGGTCACTTCCGCTCCTGCCGGCCCGCTTCCGGGAGCCTTAAAGGCGCCGCGTCCCCGCGGGTGGAGGGGCCCCGGAGGCCCGTCCCGCTTCCTTCGGCCTGGGTTACCTCCTTCCGGGAAGGCGACAGCGTCCTCTGTGGCCTCCGCCTGCTTCCTCTCTTATCCTGGGTCCAATACATAGGTGCCAGGCACGGGGCGCTGCCTCCCGGAAGCCTACCGGTGGGGCTGGTGCCGGGACGGGGGTCGCCCACCCTCCTGCCAGTGCAGTGATCGAGTCTGTGTAGAAGCTTAACGTTTTCAGCCCAGAGACGCGCTTCTTCAGTCTCGCAGTCAGTATGGCGTGCCAGGCTCTGTGCCAGGGGAGATGGGGTAGGAGGGAGGCCAAGGGGATGGACCAGGCAGACCCCTCATGAGGGAAGGGACAAGGAAAGGAGAAATAACAGCAAACAGAAATGTGGGAGATGCCTTGCCAGAGAGGGAGGAGGAGGCCTGCGGGTGAGAGGGGTTGGCTGTCCAGGCAGAGGACTCACAGCATGTGCAAAGGCCCTGTGGTGAGTGAGCTTGGTGCATTCGGGGAGCTGGAAGAAGCTCAGAGAAGAGTTCAGCAGGATTTGACTACAGAGTCCAGGAGGCTATATGCATCAACCAGAAGTGAGATGTAGTGAACCTATTATTACAACCGATGATAAATGCTATGGGATACTCTTACCGGCGGCGATGACAGTTATAAGTGGGCGGAGCAGATTCCCTTGGTCTTTCAGAGGCCTTCTCTGCACATACAGCTTAGTGCTCTCGTATGTAATTCCCCAGGCACCTGCCAAGCTCTTGGCATCATTTGCTGCAGCTCTTTATTCAAATGTCACCTCCTTTTAGGGGACTTCTTGTAACCACTCATTTGAAAATTGCAAAACCTCCCATCCCTTTTCCTCTTCCAACTTTATTTTTCCATTTTCTTGTTCACCCTCTAAACTAATGTATGTTTTACCTACTTATCTTGTCCACTGTCTGTGCCCTCCACTACATTGTCTGTTTTCTGTTTTCTTTTTTTGTTTTTTGCTGGGAAAGATTGGCCCTGAGCTAACATCTGTTGTCAGTCTTCCTCCATTTTGTATGTGGGACACCATCACAGCATGGCCTGATGAGCAGTGTGTAGGTCTGCACCCAGGATCTGAACCTGCGAACTCTGGGCCACCAAAGCAGAGTGCACGAACTTAACCACTGGCCACCGGGTCGGCCCTTATGTTGTCTGTTTTCTACCCAGCTATGTCCCAGTGCCTCCAACAGTGTCTCGTACCCAGCAGGCTCTCAAAAGATATTTGTTTAATGAAGGAGTGAATCTTTAGTACTACTATTTTCTTTCCTTTTTATAAGACAAATAGTGTATCTACTGCGCTGAAATTCTATACCTTTAACTTAGCAACAGATGGTTGACGACCTTTTAAGCTGCTGTGTGATCTTCCGTCCTAGAGATGGGCCGTAACCTGCCCCCGGTCTCACGGCTGTTTGCGTTGTTTCCGATTTGGGGAGACTGCCAACAGTGATGCATTGAGCGCTCTAGGCCCACATATTGTGAGTTCGTGATCTGTGACCTTGCTTTAAAAAGACTCATAGGGGCCGGCCGGTGGCTCAGCGGTTAAGATCGCGCACTCTGCTTTGGCACCACGGGATTCGCCAGTTCGGATCCTGGGTGCAGACGTAGTACTGCTTGTCAAGCCATGCTGTGGCAGCGTCCCACATACAGGAACTAGAAGGAGGTACACCTAGGATATGCAACTATGTACGGGGCTTTGGGGAGAGAAAAAAAAGAGGGGAAGATTGACAACAGAGGTTAGCTCAGGGCCAATCTTCTTCACCAAAAAAAAAAAAAGGACTCATAATGTCACAGTTAAGACCGTGGACTCTGAAGCCAGAAGGCCTGGGTTGGAATCCTGGCGCTGTCACTTACCAACCGTGTGACCTTGGGCAACATAAGAAACTTCGGGTTTCAGCTCTTCATCCGTAAAATACGTCTCGTAACACCTCCCTAGTAGGTACGTTGTGCAGAATTCAACGGGCTCATGAATTAATACACATAACATGCTTGACAAGGCCAGAAATATTTTGCGTTCTCGATACGTGGAGACCATTATTATGGCTTCTCAGGAGACAAACTGAGGGGTCAGAGGTTAATTCATGTTTTTACTTTCCAGGGAAAATGAACAGAGAAGGTGGTACAAAGTTGGAAGCGCTCTGGAAGAAAGAGAGAGAATACGGGAGCCCGAGGCTGCCCGGACGGCTCCCACCATGCTGGACAGGCCGGTGGAGGCGAGGGACCCGGGGCTACACGGCAACCGCCTCACGGGAGAGCCAGCTCGGAGGGTGGCAGCTCAGTCCGGACGCTGTGCCCGCGTCCGCTGCCCGCGCGGGACAGGAGCGGCTCGGCCACCGCCTCGCCCCGCCACGCTTCACCACTGTCTCATTTTCGCGCATCTGACACCCAAAGGGCGGTGTCTCAATCTGGTTGGAGTTGCCTCTCCCTGATGTAAAAGTGAGACTGAGCGCTTCTCTGCGTGTCTGTTGGGGACCAGGAGAGAAGTTCGAGAGTGAGCTGGACCCTGAGGCCCCGCCTTGGGGCAGCGTGTCCACCACGACTTGCTGAGCAACAAGGCAGCATCGTGGCGATCCCCGCTTCGCAGACGAGGACACGGACGCCCAGCGGGAAGAATCCGAAGGTCAGCCGAGCTCGCACGCACTGTCCGTCTGCCTGGAGCGAGGCCACCAGCACAAGCCCCGGAGTCCTGATCTTGCCCCTCCCTGTCGCCCAATGACTCAGCGGCCGATGTGGAATTTGAACCCAGGGCCTCCTGACCCTGCAGAGACAGTGGGAAGAGCAGGTGAGATTGTGGACTGGGAGGCCAGGCTGCCTGGGTTCAAATCCCAGCTCTGCCGCCAGAGCTGTGGGACCCTGGGGAAGTTCCTTAACTTCTCTGAACCTTAGTGTCCTTGTCTGTAAAATGTTGGTAAGGATAGTGCCCACTCCAGTGGGCTGTTGGGGGAGGCGGGGAGGCTGAATAATGGCTCCCAAAGATGTCCTTGCCCTGGTCCCTGGAAACTGCGAATGTCAATTTATACGGCAAAAGGGACTTTGCCGATGTGGGTAAGAATCTTGCGATGGGGAGGTGCTCCTGGACTGTCCAGGGGGCCCCGTGCAATCGTCTTGATAAGAGGGAAGCAGAGGGAGCCTTGACGCAGAAGAAGGCTGTGTGACACAGGAGCAAGATGCTACACTGCTGGCCCTGAGGATGGAGGAAGGGCCCACCAGCCGAGGAATGCAAAGACCACAGCTGGAAAAGCAGCTGGAAAAGGTTAGTACGGGGCCAGCCCCACGGCCGAGTGGTTGAGTTCGCTCACTCTGCTTCGGCGGCCCGGGGTTTGTCAGTTCGGATCCTGGGCACGGACCTAGCACAGCTCATCAAGCCATGCTGAGGTGACATCCCATATAAAATAGAGGAAGATGGACACAGATGTTAGCTCAGGGCCAATCTTCCTCACCAGAAAAAAAAAAAAAAAAAAAAAAACAGCCCAAGTTTATTCTCTCGCAGACCCAGAGCCCAAAAGTCTGAAATCAAGGTGTGTGCATGGTCGATTCCTTCCAGAGGCTCTGACAAGGGAGCTGTTGCAGGCCGCTCTCTTCGCTTTCGGCGGTTCTCTGTATTCCTTGGCTTGGAGATGCCTCACTGCAGGCTCCACCTCGGTCGTCCCGGGGCCTTCGTCTCTGTGTCTCTGTGTCTGCTCCTTTTCTGTCTCTTGCAAGGACACCTGCCGTGGGGTTGAGGGCCCGCCCTAACCCACGACGACCTCCTCTCCAGACCCCTTACTTTGACTACATCCACAGAGACCCCAATTCCAAATCAGGTCGTGTTCTGAGGTGCCGGGGGGACACACCTTGGGGGCCATAATTCCCCACTACGGTGGCAGGGCCAGAATGGGAGCCGCGTGCCCGGGACTCCAGCTTCCTGTGGCCGGTGCCCTGTGGAGCCCTTCGGACAGGCGGAGGCCGCCCCAGGCGCCCTGGGCGGGGCTGACTCGGTCCGGCCAGCCCTCCGCGGACCCTCCCGGCCACGTCCTTCCTTTTCTCGGGTCCTCGCGCTCTGTATTCTCACCCAGCGGTTCTCCACAGTGGCAGTTTCGCCCCCCGGGGGACATTGGCCATGTCTGGAGACGTTTTTGATTGTCACAGCTGAGGAGAGGGTCCTACTGGCATCTCGTGGGGCGAGGCCGGGGAGCTGCTAAAGCTCCTACTGTGCACAGAACGGCCCTCGCGGCAGAGATTTATCCAGCCCGATGTCGATGGGGCCGAGGCCGGGAGCCTACTCCAGCCGCACTGAACAGCGTTCTCAGTTCCTTGAAAACAGCATGTCTGGGCTGTGGCAGAGGCTGTTCCTCCTGCTTGGAACACCCTTCCTGGCATCTTCTTCTCGTTAAGTTCTCCTCATCCTCCAGGGCTCAGCTCGGGTGTCACCTCCTCCAGGAAGTCCTCCTTGACCCCAGGCAAGACCAGGTGCCCCCGAGGCTGTCCGGTCCCCCTGGATTCCCACATCCCAGCCCTGCCCATTCAGGGTCCTCCCTGTCCACGGGTGGGTCTGTGTCCCCCACTGGACGCTGAGCCCTGTGGGGGCAGGGCCAGGGTTGTCTGTCACTGCTGTGTCCCCAGCACTGTCCACCACAGGGCCATGCACACAGTAGGTCTCAACACGTATTGAACGACTAAAGCAACCCAGTTCTCATGGAGCCTTCAGTCTCCCCAACCCACTGGACCAGCAGGTCCCAACGCATCGCATCCCAAACGCCCTTTATGACAGAACTATTTTCGTAACACCCCTTGTCCCGTCCTGGGAGGAAACACAGAGATCACACATCCTGCCTACATCCATCGTTTGTAAAAATCAGTATAATAACCTAACTGTAACAGAAAGGAGAAAGGAAAGGAATTTGTATGAAAGCAACAAATGTAAAAATGCATTAGTACATTTTCAGTGGGAAACATAAAGAACAAGTCGGACACTTTCCCCTACTTACATCAAATGTGTCTGAGCAGGAGAGAATCTGAACGCTCGCCAGTGGAATGTTGTCAACAGCCTTTGGTTAGATTTTGAGATTTTGAGAAAGGGCTAAGAGTGTGTGTGTGTACTTGTGTGCATAGGTAGGTGGGTAGATAGATAGATAGATAGATAGATAGATAAAGGATGGTTGGATATAGATATAGATATAGGATAGCTGGATGGATAGACAGATGGGTGGAAGATGGATAGAGAGATGAAGAGAGATGATGGATGGATGGATAGATGATAGATGGATAGATGAGTGGGTGGATAGATAGATTATGGATGATGGATGGATAAATGATGATAAAAGATAAATGAAGAGATAAATGATGGATAGTTAGCTTGGTGGACAGATGGATAGATAGATGAAGAGAGATGATGGATGGATGGATAGAGAGAGAGAGATTATGGATGGGTAGATGGATAGATAGGTGACAGATGGATAGATAGATTGGTGGACAGATGGATAGATAGATGAAGAGACAGATGATGGATGGATAGATTATGGATGGGTAGATGGATAGATAGATGACAGATGGATAGAAGGATGGATGGATAGCTGATGGATGGATAGACGGATGGATGGATAGATGGACGGATGGATGGATAGAAGGATGAGTGGATGGATAGATAGGTAGACAGCTGGACAGATAGATGAAGAGATAGATGTTGGATGGACAGATAGATAGACAGATTCAGCTTGAACGCAGCAGCTGGGACAGCCGACTACACAGGACGTTGTGGGGAGACACTTTGATGTGACTTTGATTCCAGAAGCGGCGTTGCGGTGGTGACGTGATTATCAGAAACGGTGCCTGGCCCTGGTCAATTTCTGAACAGAGCACAGTACAATTTCAGATTCAGGCTGTACTGAAACCATGCAACTAATCCTCTGTGTTTCCCAACCACAGAGTGGCTCAAATTCAAGGGCCCGACAATATCAAGTGCTGACAAGGACGTGGAGCAGCCGGGACTGTCATGCACTGCTGGGGGGATGTCAGATGCTCCGACTGCCGTGCGGCGAGTCCTACGTACCTGCCCCACGAGCCAGCAAGTCCACACGGACGGCTTTACCCAACGGTAAAATTCGTGTATTGAAGTCCTAACGCCCAGGACCTCAGAACGTGACCTTGTTTAGACATAGGCCCTTTACAGAGGCAATTAAGGTTAAGTGAGGTCATTAGGGTCAGGGCCCTAACCCGATGTGACTGCTGTCCTTATGAGAAGAGGAGATTAGCACACGGACATGCACAGCGGGAAGACCATGCGAGGACAAACGGAGAAGGCAGCCACCTACAAGCCAGGAGAGGGGCCTCAGAAGAAGCCAGCCCCACCGACACCTTGATCCTGGACTTGCAGCCTCCAGAAGTGTGAGGAAATGGATTTCTGTTGTTTAAGCTCGTGGGGGTGGAGCGCTATAGAAATCCCATGGAAGGGACACTATACAAAACCGCAAATGGACAGTCTGCCCCGTGCGCTGCAACGCGGATGCGTCTCACACGCGACGCAGAATGACAAAAGCCAGACGGACGCCAAGGAGCGCAGACTGCGTGGTTCCATCTATACGGAGTTCTAGGACAGGCGAAACCCACATCTACTGTTCGAACTCAGGATGGGGATCATCCAGGGGGCTATGACTGGAAGGGGGCGTGAGGGAAGGGCTTGCAATCTTCTGTTTCTTCCCCCCGGGGGCTGATTACATGGAACTTTACACTTGGGATTTGTGGGGTTTACAAAAACATCTCAGTTATGGCTCAGTTTGAAGGATTTCATGAGGCTGGCTGGGTAGCACAGTGGTTAAGTTCCTGCACTCTGCTTGGGCAGCCCAGGGTTCGCAGGTTCAGATCCTGGACACGGACTCACTCACCGCTCATCAGGCCGTGCTGTCGCCGGGTCCCACATACAAAATAGAGGAAGATGGGTACAGATGTTAGCTCAGGGCCAATCTTCCTCACCCAAAATAATAATAATAATAAAATGTTTTAAAGAATTTTGGAAATAAAATGTGCAAGTTCAAAAAACAATCATCAAAAATACTTTGCGCTTATAGGTGGAAGGGAGCTCAGTTCTAGCGTTAGTACAGCACGATCAGGCTGCGCGACGATCTGCGGGGAAACGCGATGGCCAGTCGGGCTGACTTTTGCCGTGCGAGTCTCCCACTCGCCACCAGGGGGCGGTGTGGCGCGCTTCCTGCCGCTTTAGAAGCCCGACAAGCATTCATTCAACAAACAGTCCTGGAACCGTGAAAACCTCTTTTGTGCGGGGCCTCGTTCTCGTTTTTCGATCTGTAAAATAGGGATTCGAATGTACAGCGGTGCTGGAGGCATGTCCTCCGCCGCCATGGAGCTCACTTTCTCCAAAAGGAGACAGACAATAAATAGCTAAACGAATGAATAAGGAATAGGAGCGCTCTGGAGCAAAAGAAGGCAGGGTGAGGGGCCAGAGATGGTCTGGGAAGGCTTCTCTGAGGAGGTGACATTTGAGCAGAGACCAGAGTGCAACGCGGGCCAAGCTAAGTGAATATGGGGGCGTCCTGGGTGGACGAAGGGAATACGGTGGCTTCATTCACCAGCTGTAAGGTGGAAAGGGAGACTGAGTCTGGCCCAGCCCGGCCTGATGGGAGGCAAAGGGTGTCACATTCTCTGGCACAAGCAGCACAGGCCTAGGGACAGACAAGCTAAGCTCCTGCGGAGCCTGGGAAGAGGCAGGGAGGCAATCGGGGGGCCTGCCTGGAGGAGGCTGTGCACGATGCAAAGCATGCAGGCCCCTTGAAGGGATGTTTGTTTTCTCCTGATTGCTTTAAGGTCCTCCTTGGCTTGTCTAGCGCTGGGTCCCCAGCCCTTAGAGAGTCTGCACTCACACCGAGAGAGCATTTTCTGCATCTCGGGCGCCCTTAGTTACGGCAGGGCGTCACCTCATCCACTCGGCCCAGAAGCCCCGAGCCGCCGGTACTCTCATCCTCTCCATTTTATGGAGCCCAACAGCGAAGCCCAGAGATGTTGTGAGCTGCCCGAGGTCACATGTCTCGCCAGGATTTGAACCCAGAGGGCTCTTCCTGACTGCCGGAGCCCACGATAGCACGTCTATAATAAACTGATATATGATTTTCAGTGGTATCGTGCGGAGGCCAGGTGCGCAAGCTTTCTGTGCCTCAGTTTCCCCCCGTGTAAAATGGGGCCACTGATAGCATGTCGTGAGGATTAAAAAAGATAACATGATCGAGGTGCCGGGAACAGTGGCAGCCACACACTATGTGTGTTTGCTATCGAGGCTGTCAGCCGGGGAACCCACAGCCAGCCGCGGAGCCCGTCATGCGGACACGGCTTTCTAAATAAATCTAGAACCCTCTACATCTCCCACCTCCGCCCCCCACCCTCAGGATGGCCATGAGGATTTAACGAGGCCGGGCGCAGAGTAGGTGCACAGAATGTGAGAACTATTTATTTATTTATTATTATTATTCTCTCGGCTTCTTCATCCCTCCAGCTGTTCAGGCCAAAACCTCCCTCTTTCCATCACATCCTCGCCAATCCCGTCGGCTCCACCTTCCATCTGACCCCGCAGCCTCCTCTCTGGTCCCCTGGTCCTGTCCCCTTATCCCCGTCGCCTCCTCGCTGGGCTCCCTGGTCCCACTTGGCCACCAGAGGGCGCCCGTTAGAACGAAGTCCGCTCACGTGCCTCTCCGCTCACACCCGCCCGGGGCCCCCTCCTCACTCAGTCAAAGCTCTCAAGTCCTCACCGCCGTCTAACCCGCTCCGGGACCTCACCTCCCAGCCCTGTCCGCTGGCTCACGCCCTTCCAGCCCTTCCAAACGCACAGTAGCTCCTCACGCTCCGGGACACGCCCGCTCGGGCCTCAGGACCTTTGCACCTGCTTCTCCCTCTGTCTGGGGCTCTCTTTGCTCCCTCGCCTCCTTTGGGCCTTTTCTCAACTATCCGTGTCTCAGGAAGACCTTCCCTGGTCACCCTAGCGAATAAGACCACCGTGCACACTCTCGAGCCCCCTTCCCTGCTTCCTTTTCCTACTTCCACACCCACTTCCTGTTGTGACGCATGTCCTTCCTTGTCCGTCTCCCCCAGACCAGGGTATCGGCCCCACGAGGGCAGGGCTTCGGGGGCGTTGGGGTCACTCCTGCATCCCCAGTGCCTCCAGCAGCGCCTGGCCCGGAGGAGGTCCTCGGGACATCTTTGCTGAATGAATGAATGAATGAATGAATGAATGAATGCAAGAATCAGTGACCCCAGACATCACAGTCTGCGGCCGAGCATCCCGAAGGGCTGCGTGACCTCAGGCGGCCGACTCAATTCTCTGCCCTCAGTTTCCCCGTCGTGCACGGGATTTACAACAGCCTCCACCTCGAGGATTAAGTGGGCTCGTCTTTGCGGCCTTGGGGACCCGGTGACGTCGCGAGCGGCGAAGAGGCCTTTCTCGGGGCGCCCGCGCTTCCGGCCTTCGCCGCTCGGGGGCAGCAGGCGCCCGGCGATCGGCCCTCCGCGCGCGGGATGCGGCCGGGGCGAGCCCGGCGCGGGCGGCTGATGAAACCCGAGCCAACGCGCGCTGAGCTCATCCCGCCCGGGCGCCTCCGGAAGCCGCGGGGCCGCCCGGCCTCCGCCTGGCCCCCGGCGATAAAGCGGGGGTGCTGGACCCGGGTGGGAAGTCCTTCCTGAAGTCTGCCCTGCGTGGGGCCCGCGGCCAGAATCCCGGGCCTGCGGGGAGGGGGGCGAAGAGGAAGTCGCCAAGGGTCCCCTGGCTGTCCGCGCAGAGTGGAAAGTGAATTCTGAGCAGGGTCGTGGGAGTAAGGGGAGGGAGAGAGAGACAGAGATAAGAGGGAGGGGAGACAAAGATGGGGAAACTGAGGCAGGGACAGAGAGAAGAGGAAAGTCAGAGGGAGGGAGAGAGATGGAGACAGGAGAGAGAGATGGAGGAGACAGAGACGGGGAGAGACGCAGGTGGCATGTAGGGCACAGAGACAAAAATAGAGACACAGGGGGAGAGAGACCTGGGAGCGGCGGGGATGGGGAAGTAGAGGCAGAGATGGGGAAGCACAGCGGAGGGGGCCGCCGGGGTCGCGGGCGGGGCAGGGCTGCGGGCCGAGGGCGGGGCGGGCGGCGGCCGGGCCCCCGAGTTACCGAGTTACCGCAGGATTCGGGCGCTGCTCACTGGCGAGGCCGCAGCCAATCAGAGCGCGGCGCCGCTGTTCTCGGGCAGGAGGGCTGCCGACGCGCGCCTCCTCCCCCGGCCCCCGGCGAGGCCGGCGACACCCAGTCACCGCGGCTCACGCACACCCACCGTCCCAGGGACGCGCGGCGTCGCCCCCCCTCCAACCCCACACACACCCCACCCCCCAGCACAGTGACCTCCGCACACAGCATCCCACACACACACACACACCATCTCAGGGACACAGACACAGTCCCAGGACACACGGCACGGCCCAGACCCGCAATCACAATGACACACAGCGTGACCCTAACACACAACCACACTGACACCCAGCATCGCCCAGGCGCATGCAGTCTCCACGACTTAGTCCCTAGAACCCACAATATCAGTGACACACACGATCACAGTGACACCCTCATAATCCCACAGCCAGTTGGTCCTGACATCCACACTGTCACAGGGACACACACAATCACAGTGACACATATTGCACAGAGACACAACCTCATGAACATATATACAATGTCATGGACACACAACATCACGCTGACCAATGCACCACAGTGATACACACTTACAATGACACACAGCATGGCACAGAGGCACCTACACTCAATAACACACAGTCCCACAGACACACAACATTTCAGACACAATGACAGTGTTACACACACAATTCCACTATACACTGCCTTGTCCAGACACACACAATAACAGTGACATGCATGCACATCTTCCCCCTGACACCCAGCAAAGCACATGCGCACACACTCTCACAGTGACACACAACACACCCGTTACACACAACACAACACAATTCCACTGACATATACAACAGCACATACAACCCCATGGACATGCAGCAGTGTGCACACACTCACAACCATCACGGCATACACACATAATCCCACTGACACACAGATTGCACCGACACCATCGTAGTGACACAACCAGCTTGACACACAGCATTACACTGATACATACAACCACATGAACACAACAGCACAATGACACAGCACGTTCACAAGTTTCTGCTAACACGCATCATCCCAACACCTATACAGTCCCCGTGTCACAGAAACACACTCACATGAACACACCATCCCACCCACACATACCACATTGCACAACCGACACAAACAACACATAGATACACCATCACACTCACAGCGGCACACCCGAACATCATACAATAGCACACTGACACACACACACACACACAGCACACCACCACCCTCATATGCCACCCCCTGACACACGGCACACTGCCGGGGCAGACGGACAGAGCACCCCACACACCCCCATCCCTGCCCTGGCCCCAATAACATGTAGGCATGTGCGATGCTGGGGGAGGGGGCTGCTGAGTGCGTTTGTGTATCTGTGTGTGTTGTGTGTGTGTGTGTGTGTGTATGCTTATGCCTCCCCCTCCTGGCCCTTCCCGGGGGGCGGGGCTGTGCAGCCGCGCTGTTACCGGGTAAACTTCCCCGCCCCCCCCCAGCGCGGCCATTAGTCAGCCCCCCCCAGGATGATGTCATCCTCTCATTCTGGAGGCTGAGTAATCCTCGACTCCGCCCCCCCCACCCCCGCCCAGGTACCGGGGTTAGGGCAGCGGCACCTGGGCTCACCAGGGTCTGGAGCTGGGGGCTGCGCTGCCTGGGTCCCCCTGGGGTGGGGACTGAGGAATCTGAGCGTCTCTGGAGTGGCCTGGGGCTCACATCACGGTCCCTGGAGACTGGAGGC